GAACTCACCCCTGCGAATTGAGATTGGATCTCATTCATACTCCAAAGAAAAAGAAAAAGCAGTTCAGCCTTTTCGCCCTTGGAGTTCTCCTCCTGCCGCCGCCATCTGCCTTTGCAAGATTCGATCTTTGCAGAAATAGGAAGTCAAGAAATATGTTCTTGACATCAGTCTTGCAAGAAAGACTAAAAAAGACTCAGTGTTTAGTGTTTCCAGAGGGTTCTTGCGAAGGATCCAGTGTGTAGGACGCACCCTGCTGGTTCTGTTCCATCCACAGCTGTGTCATCTTCAGCAAGAACGGATCTTGGTGCATTCTTTGGGCGTGAACACCAACTTTGGGAGATACTGCTTCTCCAGATCAGGTATATTCGTCCCTTTTATCTTTTGGTACAGATCTGGTTTCATTATGGTTCAAGTAGGATCCTTGAATATTGTATTCTAAATCTAGGGAATATGATTCCCAGTTGGGAGAAGGTAGGAAATTTTTGAAATTCGCCCCACCCATTCCACAACCTTTATGGCGTCCATTAGATGGATCCTACGTTCCAGGCCCTAATGAACGAGGTGTTTCACTCCCATCTCCACAAATTTGTCTTGGTATTCTTCGACGACATCCTAGTCTATAGCAAATCGTGGGTAGAGCACGTGCAGCATCTGCGGGTCATTCTTGAACTCCTGCAACAACATCAACTCTTCCTCAAGCGATCAAAATGCTCTTTTGGAGAACGCAGGGTCCTTTACTTAGGACATGTGATCAGCGGTCAAGGGGTCACTGTGGATGACTCCAAGATTCAGGCCATTAAGGAATGGCCCAGACCGTAATCCACCAAGTCTCTCCGTGGTTTCCTAGGGCTGACAGGCTACTACCGCAAGTTCGTTCACAATTATGGACTACTGGCGGCCCCACTAACAAATCTGCTCAAGAAAAATGCCTTCCTCTGGGACGATACAGCTAATGCAGCCTTTGTAAAATTAAGAGAAGCCCTCTCCTTCACATCGGTTCTACAATTGCCAAACTTTGACCTTGAGTTCACAGTGGAGTGTGATGCATCCGGCACCGGCAAAGGTGCCATACTACAGTAGCAAGGGCATCCAATCGCTTTCTTCAGTTGCAAGTTGGCCAACCGCCACCTTAAGTTGCCCGCCTACGAACGTGAACTTATTGGACTAGCTAAGGTAGTGCAACACTATAGGCCGTACTTGTGGGGGAGAACCTTCATAGTCAAGATGGACCACTATAGCCTCAAGTATGTACTGGAACAATGACTCACCACCTCGCTGCAGCAGCATTGGGTCAGCAAACTTCTTGGGTACGACTTCTGGGTAGACTACAAGGCAGGGGCCTTGAACCGTGCCGCAGATGCCTTGTCCCGCCAAGAAGAAGATATGCTCCTCCATGCAATCTCACAGCCCCGAGCCTCCCTGCTGGAAGACATTCGGAATGAACTGCCACAATCACCCGAATGGAACGATCTGATCAAGAGAATACAAGCTGGAACGACCAACCAAAATTGGTCCGTGCACGACAGTTTGGCACTATACAAGGGACGAATTTATCTCCCGACCGACTACCCCTTAATTCCCTCCGTTATCTCCAGCATACACAACGCCACGCATGAGGGTATCCAGAAAACACTGCACCGCATCCATGCGGATTTCCACTAGCAGGGTATGAAGGCTTCTGTACGGGACTTCATCTAGAGCTGTTCGACGTGCAAGCAGCAGAAGTGGGAAAACTTGCACCCAGCAGGCCTTCTCCAACCTTTCTCACTCCCCACTCAGATCTGGGCAGATATTTTCATGGACTTCATCGAAGGCTTACCCAAGGTTGGAGGGAAATCGGTGATATTTGTGCTGGTGGACCGCTTCTCCAAGTATGCTCACTTCCTTCCCTTATCTCACCTCTACAATGCGGTTTCAGTCGCCCACACCTTCTTCGCCCACATCTTCCGATTGCATGGACTACCCGAATCCATTGTAAGTGACATGGACCCGATCTTTATCAGCGCCTTCTGGAAGGAGCTCTTCTGACTGCAGGGAACAAACCTGGCCTTCTCCTACGCTTACCATCCATAGATTGACGGCCAAACAGAGGTGGTGAACCGAACAATAGAGATGTACCTCCGCTGCCTTGTGGCAGACCAGCCCAGACGTTGGGTGGAGTGCCTTCCATGGACTGAAAACTGTTACAACACGTCCTACCACTCCTCCCTTGGCATGACTCCCTAACGGGTGGTGTACGGCCGAGACCCTCCCCGTCTTTTATCTTACGAACCTGGTTCAACACGGTTAGAAGAAGTGGATCGCAGCCTCCAAGATCGCGATGCCCTCTTGGCCGAAGTCTCCTTACGCTTGTAGCAGGCACAGGTGCGCATGAATCACGCCTACGATCAGCACCACCGTGAAGTCACCTTCGAGCCGGGACAGTTCGTTTGGCTGAAGCTCCAACCCTACCGGCAGCTCTCCCTCAGGCGTCGAGTCCCTTCTAAGCTAGCCCCCAAATTCTACGGGCCCTTCAAGGTTCTATGGTAGATAGGGAAAGTTGCCTATCAACTCGAGCTACCGGAGTACAGCAGAATCCATGACACCTTCCATGTGTCCCTACTGAAGACTTTTATAGGGACTCCCCCTAATCAAGTGCCTTCCCTACCCCCTCTAAAGGACGGCAGACCCATCCTCCAACCTTGAGCTCTTGTCCGGTCACGCATCAATCAGGGTACCTTCGAGGTACTAGTGGGACGGGACGAACTACCATCAGCTGAGGCCACCTGGATTCCCTGGACCGATCTTCACAATGCCTACCCAGATCTCGAGCTTGAGGACAAGCTCATTGTCTAGGAGGGGTGTGATGTTATGGACGCACGCAATCATAGGCAGCAGCACGCACAACAGCACACACCACCTAGCAGTAGCACTTAGGAGACGCACACACCATCTGGCAACAGCACTAGAGAGGGGCCCACATGACAGCTCCGCAGGGTGGGTCCACACTTATCTTGCCACAACAGCTCTGCTCGCCAACTCACCGCCAACTGCATTATCCCTCATCCCTTATCCTTATCTTATCTTATCTTCTTAGTAAGAGTTCTATTTGCCACTAGAAATAGGAGTTGTGTTACCATTAGAAGTAGGTAATTTATTTAGAAGTAGGAGTTTGAGTTTGATATGGATTACCCTAGCCTAGCCAAATCCAATAAGGAATCCCCTTTTGTAATCTTCTATTTAAGGAGCTATGAGTTGAAATAAAGTCATTCAGTTTTTCGACCAAAAAAAGTATAAGGAGAGTTCGGGTGATCTTTTGTACAAATCACCCACTCAGTTGCCACAA